AATATATTGAGAGAAAAGAGTATTATGGAGGGTGAGAGGTGGATGGTTTTGTTTGGAATCAAAACTTGATCGAAAATGATTATTTTTATTTAGGGTTCTTAATTAGGGCTAAGTTAGATTGGTTGGGGTCATGGGAATTGGGAGCAAAAGGGGATTTTATTGGGAAGAGACATGAGCAAATGAACACCAACTCAACAAAAATTAGGAAACACGATTGGTAGAAACGGTACGTGTTCAATGAATGGTGAAGAGTCCTTTTGCTCTCTTGGTTTGTTTTTTAATTTTTCAAGTTCTAAACTACAAGTGGAATAAAAATAATATAGTTATGATACTGCATATTATTCTATAACATATCACTATATAATTAATTATTTATATTTAAAAATCATCTTATAATATTTTATATATTTATTTAATAATATATTATAATTATGTGATATTTAAGAATGCTGTTAATAAGTAAGATAGGTTCTGTTATGAAGAAGTGTTTTTATATTAAGAACTTTAAGCCCAATAAATTGGGCCCGATAATCAAGATGTGAAATGCTTAAATGGGCCGAAAACCATTCCGGCACTCCCATTTCCCCCAAAATGGAAGAAAATAATAATAAAAAAAAGGTGAGGGAAGCCGTGAAGGTATGTACGAACGCTTATCTTTTGGTTTCCAACAAAAATAAAAAAACTCTGACGTTATGGACAAAGGCCGAAAACTCTTACGGACAAGATGGTGCTTAAAAGAGGCCCAATAATCCAAATAGAAGTGAATACTGAATTGACATTTTTTTCCATTTTTTTTTTTACCTTAAGCCCACACCAGACCCTATACTCTCTGGACCACAGAAAATTTTTTTTTATTAACCTTTCGATATTCAAAAATCATATTACATCTAAATTAATTTGAAATTAAATCATATTATACCTCATAAGAAAAGAAGCTTTTCTAATGTCTATTTCTCTATTTACAAGTCTCGAATTCAAAATTTTATTTAAAAAAAAACTGAACTCTTTTCACTCATATTAACAAGTTATTAATATCATAGAAAATTCTTGAACAACTTGAAAGTGGGCTTCCCTTTCACAGGTTTACATTTTACAATGTGCTCCATTTTTTCTTTTTCCTTTTTCACTTTAATAGTTTTTTTTTGGTAAAATTTATATTTAAAATTAGAGCTAATTTATCTTTATATATATATTGCTTTTGAGAAAGAAAAAAAAAAAGATAAAAAAAGATATTTTAGTAAAAAAGAGTGGAGAATTAAAATCAAGATATAAAAATAAGGTTAAAAATGGAAAAAATTATTTACTACAAAAATTAAAAAATTAATAATTAATTTAGCTAAATTTTAGGTTAAAAAAGACCTTTTTTTTGGTACATTAAAAAAGACTATTATTCTGAGATAAAAAATAGTAATATATGAGTATTTGAACTTCTAATTTGACTAATTTTCCTAGTACATAGGTATAGAAATTATAGTAGCACAACGAGCAAACCAATTTGGGGCATTCTTAGTCATAAAAAACGTTTGGGGCTAAATCGCCAATAAAAACTAAGTTAAGGGGCCAACTAATAAAGTTTTTGCCGAAGCTATTACAGGACTCACCCTTTCCTAATTCTCTCGTGCATACCCTTCCCGTATTTACGCTGCGCGAAAAGGTAAAGGAAAAGAGCTAGGCGGGAAAATGGCGGCGGCGACAGGAGTGGTGCTGCCGCGGCCAGTGACTTTCGTGACGGGAAACGCCAAGAAACTGGAGGAAGTAAAAGCCATCTTGGGTCAATCCGTTCCCTTTCAGTCCCTCAAGCTTGACCGTATGCTCCTCATCCTTTTACAAACTTCATCCCTTTTTCTCTCTTTCTTTCTTGCTCTAATTTTCCTTTTCTGGGTTGATTTTATATCCAGTGCCTGAACTCCAAGGCGAACCTGAAGAAATCTCCAAAGAAAAGGCTCGTTTGGCTGCTGTGCAGGTATGTATATGCACAAAAGGATACTTGCGTCTGTGTTTATTCTGTTGATTTTTTTATGTTTTTGTGTATGTTGTGTATCTGTAATTTCTGTATTTTGAATTGGGAAGGTGAATGGACCAGTGCTAGTGGAAGATACATGTCTCTGTTTCAATGCTCTAAAGGGTCTTCCAGGTTTTTACTTTCGTATTTAGTTACTTATTTTTGGGTTTTTTTTTTCTAGTTTATAGTTTCTGATTCGTGTTACATTCTTGAAATTATTTTCAGGGCCATACATGTAAGTTCTATATTTGATTGCTGTTCAATTTTTGAGTTGTAATTGTAAGTTATGCTTCTCCTTTTACTTTAAGGATTCCAATTTCTTTCTTTCTCTGTCGTAATAAGAGCACTTTTGGAATTATGATTGAGTAGATTTGGGATGGAAATTGTTTGATGATAGGTCGAACTCAGTGAAGTAAAGTCTCATTTGGCCTCTGTGTTAATCTTTTTTATGAAAAAAAATAGTTAAAAGTTTTATGGGAAAATGGTGTGGATTGTCCGTGTGTAATGTTGAAGGACAATTTTATATCAGTTAGTTATTCATCTACTATCCTATTACTGTATTACAACTTATGTGTTCTCCTGTAGGTTTGATGTAATTGGGTACACCTCAAAATCGCTAAGATAAAACATTTAAAATGGAACAACTGCTTCAATTTCTTTATGAAATTTTGTTGGGAAATATCACCAATTAATTATGTCAATCATTAGGCACTAATTTTGTTTTTCAATTTCCCTCCATGCCTTTTATTTGTGAGTTTGAAACATCCTTACCCATAGAAGTGGTTTTTTTCCTTGACTGCTGGAGCAACTTCACAGTGTTAGCAACCATGCAGTACTCTTGGTGTATCACATGATGAAAGTTTTTGAATCGTTTCAAAGAGGAAACATTAATGATTGTTATATATTTCATTCTCCTTTGCATCCTATAGAATTCAATTTCTATCATGAAGATTTCCAACGTTCAGTCTGTTAAAATTTGATGGCCTCTAGGCTTTAGTTTAGTGTCTGTGTTCTCCTTACGAGTTTATTAGGGCTTCTATGGATATATGGATTAAATTGGAGCTTCATTGCATGTTCATAACATTAAAAAAAAAGAAGAAGAAGAAGAAGAAGAAGAAAGTTGAGGTTTAAGTGACAACTGACCTATAGGTGGGAAAGTTAATGACGGAGATCACTGTTCCAAATTAGTTACTTGATCCATGCAATGGTTTTCAGTCCATAGTTGTTTCTTTGATTTGTTTATTCCTTTTATCATCTTGACATTTGCTTTGCTCATTTAACTGAGATCTTTCATAATTCTCCCTCTATATTGATAACCAAAGGAAAAAGGACAGAGAAAGGAGAAAGGGGGGAAACTTTCTAATTGTATAACTTTGTAACTATGTTTTCTGCTGCTTTTTTTGTAGTAAATTGTACTATAAATTAGCCCCTGTTTCTTATTACTTTCATAAGTTGATATAGTGGATTTCTTGTCAAGTGTGGGAGTGTGAAAATTGTTGAGTTCATGACTAAAAGAAGCAAAGAGAGTGAAGTAATTTGGATAAGTTACTTGCATTTTTAGTCTACCTCTGCATAAAATTTCAAACAATCTATTGATTTCTTTTGGTTCGTCATTTGATGTTATGTTACAATTGACTCTACCTGAACTGAAAGGCCTTTTCCATATTGCATGCCCTTTCTCACCATATGACTTATGCACAATTGTAAATGAGTCTGGATAAAGGCAATCATCATTGCAATATGCAGGGAATTCATATAGTCTCCTGTTGAAAAGAATTTATTGTCCTGTATGAGGCCTTTGATCTCCTTCAGTGCTGTTGTTCTCATTCCGTTTATTTCCTCCAAAAGTTTAGGTTTATGAACCCGTAGTGATGTCATTGATGATAAATTAGGCTTTGGATTATTTGCAAATACTAATAGTTTTCATAATTGTTTTTCACAACATGGTTCTAATATCCTTATTTTATGATCTTTGATTTCGTGTGGTTTGCAGCAAGTGGTTTTTAGAGAAGATTGGCCGTGAAGGTTGAATTCTCTCTCTGTATTGTCTCATTTACCTTTTGCTTCATAATCTTTATCAAAATTTCCTGCTTCTCCAAAGCTTCTCCTCTGATTCTTCATATTTTCTAGGTTTGAATAACTTGTTGATGGCATATGAAGATAAATCAGCTTATGCTTTATGTGCATTTTCTTTTGCTCTTGGGCCCGATCTTGAACCTATTACATTTCTGGGGAAGACACCGGTATGTTTTTATAGTGCTATCTTCCCTTCTTTTAAAAAAATTTTTTAAAATTTTTTTCCTTAATCTGATTTTTTAAATCCTTTTCATTTCTTCAAGCTAAATTTTGTTAATTTAAAAGCTTTCTATTGCCTATTTGACCAGAATAAAGCATCAAAGCCATTTGAATTAGTGCCAATTTGACATGTAAAGTTAAGAACCATTTGATCTAAATTATGGGACCGTGAATGAGAGCATTTATTGGGTGATTTTATTTGGGAAAGGGATGATGATACCTTTCCAGGCATTCCCCAGAACCATTTATTCTATAAGAGGATATACTGCTTGAGGTTGATCAGATTACGTTAGAACTTTAGTAGTCTTAGAGCCTGTGCAGAACCATTCTGAAGGTTGGTTAAATGAAATGTAGTCAACTTCTGTGGCCCTTCAAATGTGTTTGCAGACCTATTTGTAGAGGATTTGTAGACCTGTTCAAAGGTAATAATCTCAGCTTGATCTTTAGACATGTTAATCTTCAGCAAGAGTACTAGAAGTTGGCAAAGATTGCTTTGAAGAATTTAAGTTGCATTTTCACTCTACTAAGGATTAGGTTCAAGGCTTTGCAGTACTGATTTGAGGGTGACTGGGGCAGGGCTAAAGTAGATTTAATCACCCAAATGACTGCCCATGATTTTATACCCTCATTTTCAGAGATCAACTTCTTACGGAATATGTGAATGTGACTGAGGTGCATTTTTATTTATCTGATTTTAGAGTAATGTATATCCATTATTGTAACAGTTTCTTTTCTTTTTCCTGTTTTGATTGCCTTCATCTAATTGTTTTTATTTTTTATATTTATGTTAAGAATCAAAGAGCTAGGAAAAAGAAAAAAGAAAAAAGAAAAACAATTCTAGAGAAGGAAAACTAATCACTTTAACATTGTTGTTCTTTGGCTGATTTGTTAGGGCAAGATAGTTCCACCAAGGGGACCAAATGACTTTGGATGGGATCCAATCTTTCAACCTGATGGCTATGAACAAACGTATATCTGCTTCATTCCACTTCATTTTTATTGCCTTCTGATCCAAATTTTAGCAAATCACAGCTAAGTTAGATTTTTCCTTTCGTTTGTTCTAATCATGTTCTCCCTTCTATAGTTATGCAGAGATGCCAAAGGAAGAAAAGAACAAGATTTCTCATCGCTTCAAGGCTCTGGCTCTGGTAAAATCCCACTTTGCTGAAGCTGGATACAGTTTTAAGACAGATGGCACCTCTGCCTAAAAATAATCTAAATCTTTATTGTTGCCGTCCAAAATAACGAGTCCCAAGTAATCAAAAACTTTATTCTTGGGGTCCAAATTTGTTACATTTTCTCTAATTCTATAATGAACTGCATAGAAAATGACTACTTGAGAGTGGGATAACAGAAGCTTTTGGAATATTTACTTGGGTTTTATTATGAAAATAAAAATCTAGCTTCAAATATGTTTGCCTAAACTTTGTCAAGTAAGTAACTGCAAGCTAACCTCTTTTGAACACGTTTTTTAAGTTACATTAGGAAAAGGATCATGCTAGCCTGTTTACTATGAGCAGTTGAGCCTTAATCAATTTTTCTTTTCACTAACATTTTTCCTTATTTACTGCTCTCTGTTTTTGGTTTTGATATGTGTTGCTATTAACTTCCTCAACGGAAAATGATATGGTGGCATCATAACTTGACCACATATAATTGACTGTTGTTATTCATGGGGCCTTGTTTGATATCGTATGCATTCATTTGTTTAATATCATATCATCATCGTAAGCATGACGTTTTAACTGTATTATTTTTGCTTCATCAATTGCTTGTGCATACACCATTAAATCCAAAAGCCGGTGGCCTAAAACAAGGACGTACAGTTGTAGTTAGTCTTTATAGTCATGAAATTTAAAGGGGATGTACTTTCAAACATACAGCTTCAGATCATCAAGGGTATTGCAAGAACTGTCCTGGCATCCCAAATTCCCAATATTGACATTTTGAACACGTGTTTGGCTACCGTCTCTATCATTCCTGAGTCACTGAAAGGGCGGGTATTTCTTCCATTGTCAAAATGATATACATGTTCAGTTTGGATTTCTGGTTAGGTTTCCTACTTATTCCAAAAGTCTAAGGTTTGTTTCTTTGTAATTATGATATAAATTATAAACAAATTTTTAATTGTTTCAATCTTTTATTTTATGTTTGGGTTGAGGAGAATGTAGAGGAAGAGAATTATATCCTTCCATTTCTCTCTATTCTCTTTCTTTCTTTTCTCTTTATTCGGATAAATAATTAAATTAAAAGAAAAATAAAGGAAATTTTTTCATCCCTTCCTTTTTAATTTTTTTAATAATCAAGTAGAGAATTTTTTTTCTCCCTTTCTTTTCTTTTCCCTCTATTCCTTTTAATTCAAATGTACTGTTAGTCTTTTTTTTTTTTTTTTGATATATCTAATAAGGAACTATATAACAAATAATAATTTTTCTCTTCCATAGTTTTTTTTTGTCGTAAGGTTTGAATTTAAAATTGTTAACTTGTAATTTAAGTTCTTATTTCTTGAGATACTCATGGAGTTAAGAACAATAAAATATTTTTTAATTTAGTAGTTCAAGTTTTTATTTGGTGAGATACCATAGGGTTAGATCTAATAGAATGTATTGAATTAGCTCAAGATAAATAGGTTAAAGAGATTTGAAAAATTAAAAATTAAAAATTAAAAATTTTAAAAAATAAAAATAAAAAAGCGCTACATATGGTGGAGTTGGCTCTGTGAATTAGCATAATTGTAACGGACCAATCCAATACTAGCAAATGGTGGCTTTGGGGACAACATGTATCGATGCATGTATCAAGTCACTCGGGCCTCTGCTATTAGAATAATGGTCCATGCCGGGTCTGGATGTTTACTGCAGCTTTAAGCTTCTAAGATGGACAGCTGCAGTAGATTTGATTTGCTAAGTTAGCCGAATAAGTTAGACACCTTTTTTTTTTTTTTTTTTGATGGCAGAGAACTCCTCACATGGCATAGGGACCCTAACGTCCACATGCATGCCATTTTTGATGTCTTCCAAGTTATTTTTCCAACTTCCACGTGAAATTAGAGCTCATCTCATGGAATTCCTCTGTTTGAGATTAGATCTTCCATAGCCAATGTTAAGGATTAGGTCATCATCTTCATTCAAGAAAAAGCAAGAAGGCACTTTCCTCCTCAAAATGGAAAACAAACGACTCCGTTTTTCCTTTTTGCCAGGTGTTTTTGGTTGATTCTGAAATCAGGAGAGGTAAACCCATCTGAAGTTTCCTTAAAAAAGGCGAATTGGGCATTTATGCATCATTTGGGCAAAGACCATAAAGCTTGAAAAAGGGTGTTAGTTACTGTTATCATGTGGGTGGGTTGGGTGCGCACATGGAAGAATCACTCATGCCGGTAGAGGCAACAACATAAACAGGGGAAGCATTCCAAGTCATCCAATCCAATCCCCACAACTTCACAATCAAAAAGTTGAAAAAGTTGAGAAACCTAAAGAAAAAGGTGAAAAGAAACATCACTACTATTGCTATGCATCATCGTCCGTAAAATAGGGTCTTTTGGAACTCAAATTTTGACATTCATACTATTGCTTGTATGACTACACACGAGGTTAAAAGAACAGAAGTAAAGAAAATTAATCGCCAAATTATTTAGACCCTATAAAATAAAAACCGAAAGACAAGTGTAAAGACCAAGATTGACGCTGATGGACAAAAGATGGCATATGTTGGCTAAAGGGATGATAGGTGGAACAACGCTTCCGCACCTGCTGCTGGAAATGGCTTTGTTTTACTTGAGATGAAACAGGCGGAGGTCGATAAAAAATAGCAGATTGAGAGAAATGAGATGAGGGGAAAATGAGGGGGACAATATAATGACAATGTGTAATAATGTACACTTCGTCAAAATATTTGATGATGTAGGGGAAAGAAATGATTGGTAGGAAATGTAGATGTGGAGTTGGTAATATGTGCTTTAGGAAGATTAAGGGAAATTAAACAGGGAGTAACATGGCCGTTTGATTGGCCAGTTTAATTGACGCAGGTACTAGCATTGGTGGCCTCTGCGGCAGGGAAGAGCACCAGCATTGGAAGTCATGGCTGCAACCATGGAAGAGGACTTGGCTCCCAAGCTTGAGGCCCTGGCATAGCTGGCAGAGGCTCCTGCTCCAGATTCAGTGAAGTAGGCACCGTTAACCATCAGGTCTCCTTCAGACCTCCAGTTCCAACTTTTCCACTGTCCTTCAGCTGTATCTACCCTCTTAGTAACCTGTCCAAGCCAATGCAAGGCCAATTATTAGTAGATGTAGAGCTTGTAAACCTTGTTTAAGAACATAAATGTAAGAGATGAGATAATACCTCCTTCGCAAAAGGGTTTGTCGGAGCAGCATAACGGTTGCCCTGGCTGTTGATGGTGGGGTTTGCACTTCCACCAATGGCATACATTTCCCAGTGAGTGTAGTCATTGTTCACCACATGGAAATAGCCATGCCTGCACCTGCATTATTCATGGATCCAAATTACAATCGAATCAAATTCTCCTCTCAATGAAAATGACAGGAGAAAAATGAATGGAAAAAGAGCTTTTAATGTGAAAGGTTAAATCAAATTTGTTACCTCGGCATTCTCTGGTTAAGCCCCTCTCCAAAGTGGTTGTAGGCAATAGTCACCTGCATCTGCTTGTCCCTTGTATAAGAGTCGCTATGACCCAGCAACATCACCTGTGTTTAAATCACACATTACCATTAGTTCTTTCCTTCACAATTAACCAGTAAATTGAACAATTAGTGAACTATAAAGTGAAAGTAATTACCTCATTGTGGTGGGTGAAGTGGTTGTTGGAGATGGTAATAGCAGTTGAGCCCATGACAGCATCAACAAGACCATCAGCACAATTAGACAGAGAATTGTGATCGATCCAGATGTGGCTAGATCCAAAGATAGAGATGCCATCACCATCAGCCATTGTCCTCCATCCAAAGTGACTCGGTGAGCTTCTCACCAGGGCATTCCCAGTGGGCTTGCAGTCATGAATGTGGAGACCGTGAATGATAACATTGGTAATATACTGGATTGTGAGGCATGCTCCATTAGCAATGTGGACATTGACACCTCGGCCATCAATGGTCTTGAAGCTGTTCATGATCAGCTCCTCCTTCAACGTTATTACCATGTCCCTCTTGAACACGATCCAGAGAGGCTTGTCCTGGATCACAGCATGGCGTAGGGTACCAGGCTTGGGGTTAACAGGGTCATCATCACCGGGATCAGTGACAACATAGAAGCGCCCATCACGGCCACCAATTGCATTCCTCCCAAAACCAATCCCACAGTCTGCGAGGCGCTTGCGGTTTTTCTGCCAGTTGGGGTCACAACGCCAGCAATCATCAATGGGGTTGCCCGTTCCACAAGAGAAGAAGCCCAAATTCCTCCTTTCAGTAACATTGCCGATGCTCCTGTTAAACATACACGTACATTGTTATTTCAAAACAAGCTCTTTTCAACCAAAATTCAAGGAATGTGTGATATTAGTACTCAAGACATGTCAAATTAATTCCCAGATCCCCACTCCAAGTTGCAACAAGAATTAGTAATTAAAATTTTATTTTATTATTAAACTTTTAACTCATATTTCAATGTAAATTGGTGGAGGTAAATTGCACCCTCTTTCATTTTTTGCTCCAACCACCATTCCCAGATCCGAACAGCAAAGACGTTGCATTAAATGACAAAACTGGGGCAATTTGGGAATTTAAAAGGAAACGGATACAATTCTGGTCGTCACGGTTCTACACGAAGGAGCCAAAACAGAGCATTTATACCTCTATCCTGTCTTTTTGCATCAAATTGGTGAGGCTAAATACTTAAGATTTTCCAAAATTCTACCCAGAAAATGACTTCGCCGTTAGAAACTTACAAACTGCGTAATAAATTGTAAACACCTGAATATAGGGAAACTCCCACATGTAAATGTCAATGTCATCTTTGGTTTTCTAATTAAACCAGACAAAACTCATAAACAGTAAACGCCATCCAACAAGTTTATGGCTGCTCTCATAAAAATAATAAAAAAAGAAGAAAAAATCTTTACAAATAAAATTAAAGAATACAAAAATGACGTTTAAAAGGAACTGATTTAGACAATTGTGCATAAGACCAACTGAGTTCTCACAGGACAAAAGGGTGTCCAAATCAGTATCTATTGAATTGAAGTAGGAACCTATTCTCTTCATTTTTTTTCTCTTAAAAATAAAAAGAGGGGCTTAAAGCCTTAAACTTCGGACGTTAAGTACAAGCATTATGGTACTGAATTAAGAAAGAGACATTAGGCTTCACGGTTCTTTCTGATACGGTTTAAAATGACAGATTAGGAAAGTGAATGTCCGTAAAATTCACAGATTACCCAAGAGATAAAAAAAAAAAAAAAAAAAAAAAAAAAAAAAAAAAAAACTACAATTCAAAGTAAAATTCCCAGATCATCAAAATTAAGCAAGGTACTAAAATGTATATGGAAACAGAAATATGCGTAGGGATAGAGGAAAACGAGACCCACATGTCAATGATGGACTCAACTTCAGCAGCAACTGCATCCGGGTCGCCCACCGCATGCTCACTCAATTCCTCAACTTCTTCAACCCTGAAAAATATATATTTAAAAAAAGAAAGGATTAATTAACTCTAAAGTAGAGAAGTCCTGGGTGGCCTAATGACGGTCTATTTTTGTTGCAAGGGTATTCCCCTATAAGTCAAGGGATGAGATCCAAGTCTTACATTTGTATTAAAAAAAAAAAAATTAACACTAAAGTAAAATTATCAAAATACGACAAATATACATGTGCGCGAAATTAGAACGTAGAGATTGAGTGCGCCTGCAAGCGGTGTGCCGGTGTGCGTCTGTACACTCTGCGTGCACCGTGCAGTGACTCTACATAAAACCGTTACAAAAAGCACTTTTGGCAGAGGAAATGTAAAGAGGCGATACGTCGCGGGGAGGGGTGAAAAGACGAAGCATCTCCGCTGTAACTAGAAAGGAATCCCAGGTAACGGAATAAACGATCCAGATCTAAAGATCCAGATCTCAACGGTTAAAATAGAAAGTAAAAATTACCGTTTCTATAATCTAACGGTTCAGAAATACTTAACGAGGAGAACCAACGACTTAGATCAGTTTTGAGAAAAATAATGAGGTTTTTTTTTTTTTAATTTGTTTTCTGTTACCTTGCTGCCGCCATTGTTGAATTCTTCGAGCTCTGCAACTTTTCTGCTTCTGCATTGCTGTAAAAATAAATAGGAAAACATTCAATAAATGAAAAAAATGGAAGCTTGGCAAAACTAACGCCGAGGAATATGTGTCTATTTCAGTACTCTGTTTGTTTATTAATGTGGAGGTGAAGAAGGCATTAAGGAGGGTTGAAATCTCGTTTTCTGTGCTTTAAAAGAGGAAAATGGAGCTTTGAAGAAGTCATTAATGGAGTCGCTACTAGAAGTTGATCTGAAACAGAGCCTCTGAATGCGAATTCTGCTCATAATTAAGGCAGTGAAAAGAGCCTTGAAATTCCTTAAGCTCGTTTGTCCTTTTTTCTCATTATATCATCAAATGCAGCTTAATTTCCAAAAATATTTCCAAGATCTGGAGTGAAATCCGAAAACTAGTTGGATAATTTGAAACTTTATCAAGTAAATTAATAGAAACTCTAATCTCCGACGACTCTAAAAGCTCGTTTCCAGAACAAACTCCACAATGTAGCTAAAATTATCGCGGAAAACACAAGGGAGAAGGTGAAACATAGTTGAAAAGATAAAAAAAACAGCTGCAATTGAGAGAGCCTGAAAGCTGGGGATTTAGGAAGCAGGAGAAAGAAAAAAATAAGAATTTCTGGAGAAAGTAACCTGAATACAGAGATTATTTCGTTCCGCACAATCGCCATTGCAGCAGCGACAAGCAACACAAGCAGCAAAGCCAAGGACGCACACGCCCATTTCTTAGACACCGCCATTGCCAGCTCCCTTCAATTCCAAACTCCGCCGCTCCTCTCAAATTTTTCTCTCTATCCAAACAGACGGGAGAAAATGTGAAACAGAAGAAAGTAAATGCTGATTGAGAGCCAAACAAAGAAGAAGAGGAAGCAGCAGCGACGAGAGTCCGAGTACAAGCTCCGAGCCAACGGCCTTTATAGAGAGCCACGAGAAAAAAAGAACAAACGAAATATCCCAAACCGTTAACACTCCGTTATTCAAGTAACTCTGGTTAGGTTTTCAGTAACCATCGTGGATTCATTAACCTAACCACCACTAACCGAAACTGCCTCTCTCTCTCTCACTCACACCGGCACATAGTTCTAACGTGCCAGATACTTAACCGCTGTATGCCATGTCAGCAAGGGGAAGGTAGGGACGTAAGTCACGCTATCCTGCTGAATTTGCGGATGGGATGATAAATTGTTTATTTATATTGGAGGACGTGCGCAATAAATTGTTTTATTTTCAATTTTCAATTTTTTAAATGTTTTAGTTATATCCATAAAAAAATATTTTAATTATAATATTATATAAAATCATTATAAATTTATAATTATATTTTATTATTAAATACATATAGTATTATAAATAAAATTTTTAATAAAAATAATTA